TGATTTTTTATAGGAGGCTTGTCTTTTCACACTCTACCCTCATTTGATTGTATGTTCCTCAAAGTGACCTACAGGTCTTTGTCTCTGTACCTGAAATGGCCAGCAGAGAGTTGGCACTCAGTCCATGTTAGTTTAAAAGATGACTGAATTGCAAGACACACTTTGGTTCCTCAAAGAGTTTACAATTCAGATATGATGATCAGATGCACCCACAAAAGCATGGCAGAGTGTCAAAAACACGGCAGGCTTACACGAAAGAGCTGTGAGAGGCTATTTTATCACAGAGGAGGGAGATGTTGCTTGCAACATGGGGGCATCAAGTTTTGGAATAGACTTCATGGAGGAGAAAACGTGTAGCTGGGCCTCTCAGACTGGAGAGAATTTCCACCAGTAGGATGAGTAAGTGCCAGGTGGGGAGTCATTGAAAACAGGCATTCCGTCTCTTCAGTGAGGCCGTGGCAAGGATTTCACACCTACAGAGGAGGAGTAAAGGCCACAGAGGGTGCAGGGCCCAATATAGAGTCCCACGGCTCTCTCACTGGGTAAGGTCTCCCTTGTCTCAGAGCAAAAATTAAAAAATACAAACAAAATATATAAATCATTCCCAGTGAACCCTGATAGCTGGGATTGCCTTTTTAGGGCAGAGAAATTTCTCAGCAGTGAGAGCTGTTAAACACTAGAGTAATTGGCCATGGCAGCTTTAAAAGCTCTTTTAGATTTTTATGCATAAAATAGACAGCACCGTCAGTGATTTCCTGTGGCCTTTCTTAAAATCACGGGACTGTACTATACAAGCTCCCAAATTCTGTCATTTGATCCAATTCAGCAAGTAGTTGAGTGTCAACCCTGTACATGACCCTGAGCATTGCTGTAACTGGATTTATTTGCACTTTACAGGTGCCTCTCTTTCAGGGATTCCCATCTTGACAGACAACACTTCCATCCAAATTGTTACCCAAATAAGAAATGTATGAACAGTCCTTGATTCCTCCTGCCTCCCTGCTACTCACATTCAATTAATCCCCATCCCCGTCATTGTAGTGCCAGTGTAACATCTCCAGAATCTGTCTGCATTTCCTGATTTGTACTGGCATCTCTCCTATGGCTTGCTGAATAGTCTAAATGACCTCTTAGCCCTCAAACTCAGCCTGCTCTGATCCATCCGTGGTCCTTCTGAAATGGAAATCTGAAAGCATGCCACTGTCTTGTTCTCATTTCTTCAATGGGCTGCAGGGCGTATAAGAGAGGTAGGAGGTGTGGATTCTGAGCCAGACTGCTTAGATCTTCCTGTGTCCTTGAATCACAGCTCTGCTGTTTGACCTTGGGCATGTCACCTAAGCAGTCCTTGCAGTCTTCTCATCTATGAAAAGGGGCTCATAATAGCAATTCATCTTAGAGGGGTTGGGAGGATCAAATGATTCTATATCTTCCTCCTTCTTGTCTATGTCTACAGACTCTCAAATTTGGAATGTGCCTGGACTCCGGTCTTCTCCATGTTCATTCTCTCATCCATCTCCATGCTTTAAACAACTATAAATAGGGCTGGGACTAGTAGCTCACACCTGTAATCCTAGCACTCTGGAAGGCTGAGGCAGGAGAATCCCTTGAGCTCCGGAGTTTGAGACCAGCTTGACCAAGAGCAAGACCCCAACTCCACTAAAAATAGAAAAATTAGGCCAATGTTGTGGCAGGAGCATGTAGTCCCAGGTACTCAGGAGGGTGAAGCAGGAGGATTGATTGAGTCCAAGAGTTTGAGGTTGCTGTGAGCTGGGCTGAAGCCATGGCACTCTAGTCTGGGCAACAGAGTGAGACTCTGTCTCAAAAAATAAATAGATCAATAACTAACCATAAACAGAAAACACCCAAATTTACATCTCCAGCTCAGACCTCTCCAGAATCCCAGACTCCTCCATCTAGCTGTCTTCTCAACATCTCCACTGGGACGTGACCAGAGCTGACACACATATTGAACTTAACATGTCCAGACTGAGCTCCTGATGTTCTCCTCTCAAACCTCCTCAACCCATAATCTTTCTAGTTCCAGATGATGGAACCGGCCTAGATGCTCAGATTCATCCCCCACTTCTCTCTTGTTCTCCCTCCCCACATCCCACCATCTGGAATTCCTGCAGGTTCCTCTCCCTCCTCCCTGCACAATCTGACCCTTCCTCACCTCCTTCATGTCCACAGCCCAGTTCAAGGTCATCTTACACCTGGGTTACTTCAGCACCCTCCTAAATGGCCTTCGTCTACCCTATCTCTTCTCAATCCAGTAGGCAGACAAATCACATCCTGTCACTCCTTCCTTCAAAGCCTTTCACAAGCACTACAAGCCAAAATCTTGAAAATCTCTTTCATGAATCTGTGTAGTCAGGGCTCACGGGATAATCTCATCTCCTGCTGTATCTTTTGCTCATTCTGCTCCAGTCACACCGTCATCCTCCCTGCTTTGGGACTTACCAGGCATGCTCTGGCCTGACAGCTTTGTGACACCTGTTCCCTTTACTAGAACTGGAGGAGACAGCTGTAACATCAGGAGTTGTAGCTAACTTCTTCACTTTCTTCAGGTCTTTGCTCTTTTTCTCTCTTCTCCATGAGGTTTGCTCTCCAATTCCATGGCTCTCCCCATCTTCCTCCTGTTGTTATTGTTGTTGCACTTACCACCTTGTAACACACTCCGTACAGAGGGTGCTGGAAAAACGCAGATATCTTTTGAGAAAGAAAAAAAAAAACCTGCATTAAAATTACAGTGCTCAGTATTTACAAATAACAATTGATGGATATAAGTCATGGTGAGCATCTCTCATAATTGCAGGAGCCAAATGTGACTTGAGTATTTCCTTCCTTAAAACACTACACATTCTTTGGTACCCTTTGCACTTTGCTTATGTATATTGGTTATTATCTGTCTTCCCCCACTAGAATAAAAGCTCCACCAGGGCAGAGATTTTTGCATTGTTTACTAGTGTTATGTAAACATTACCTTGCCAACTGACTAATACTCACCTTTTCTGTATCGCAGTGCCTCCAACCACACAAACTAAAAATAGTACCAAAGTTACGTGTGGAGGGAGACCTGCCCAGCCCCTTCATTTTCAGATCTGGGGGCTGAGATCCTGAAAGGGTTAGTGCCTTGTCCAGGGCCAAGCAGGTGTTGGCCCAGCTAGGGCCGGAGGGGCCTCTGGATGGGAAGCTGCAAGCTGGTTCCGTGCGCGTTACCCAAAGCACCAGCCAACAGGCAGGCGGTTCCTTTTCCCAAACGCTCTTAGGTGACTCTAAAGTGGGGTAGTTATTACCCTCAGGATTTACTGCCCACAATGTGCAGCTGAGACATCGCTCTCTGGAAATCACCCGTTGCCCCAACACCTGCCGAAATTATGCAAGCGGTGTAGCGGCCACCCTAGCCCTTTGTGACTGGACCACTGGGGTCAGAGTGGCCGCAGACCGCCCTCGGCCTCCGATCAGGGCTCGGGGCCCGCCGGGCTGGACCAACCAGTGATTACCGGAGCCTCAACAGGGCCAATTGGGGGCTCAAGCCAAAACCAGCTCAATCAGAAGGGAGGAGCGGTTCCTCTGGGACCAATCAGCGGCTTTCGGGCCTGAGTTGCGGACGCGAGGCCCCACGAGCGGCCAATCAGCGAGCGCGCGGCGATCGGAGCGCGCGCGGGGTGGTGGTGGGCGGGGCCTGTCCGCGGGACTGAGCGGCCGGCGCTGCGCAGAACGAGGCCGGGTGAGGCTGTTTGGTGACCCGGGCCCGGGGCGGGGTGGAGGCGGGGGCGCTCGGGGGCAGGGGCGTGAGCATTTGGGGCGGGGGTGCGGGATGCCGCCAGACGGGCCCTTGGAACTGCGCGGTTCTTTGGGGAGAGGTGGGGGACACAGCACGGGGTTCTAAGGGGTGGTCTGCGGAGAGAGGAGAGGATGGTGTTGCCCTGGCAATGCATGTGCGCGAACCTCCCGGGCCCGGGCGTCTCTGCGCTTTTCTCCCCCGACCTCCCCCCTCCACCGCCCCCGACGTGCGCGCACCTTAAATCCTCTGCTGCCCACCCGCGCGCGGTCGGTCTCCTTCATGGGGGCGGCCGGGCTGGCACAAGCGCAGAAGCGATCTGCTGGGCGTCTGCTGTCCCCCACCCTGCACAGCCTGTCTGCCCTCCCTCCAGCTGTCCTTCCTCCTGCACCCCTCCACCTGCGTGGAGATTAAGCTCACCCTGGAGCGCTTGGAACAGGCCTTTGCTGTGGCCAGTTCCCATCGGCTCCCATGGTACCATAAAGACATTGCCGCCTCAGGGCTTTGGGGTGTACCCCAGTTGGGGTTTGGGTTTTAAAAGCACCACAGAAGGGCCTTGTGCATAACCAGTGTTAAGGGACTGGGGTGTGAGTGGATGAATAAAGACCACAAGGGCATTTTTCCCCCATTCCATGGACCAGCTCTGTCCAACAGAACCAAAAAGCAAACCACACACTTAAGTGAATGTTTTCTAATCACCCCATTAAAATAATAAAACAGGTTAAATTAATTTTAATGTATTGGATTTAACCTCCTATAGCCAAAATATTACAACACGTAATCATATTATATAACCTCCTATAGCCAAAATGTTATTGCAACATATAATCAATATTAAGTTATTGGTTAAGATACTTGAAATTCTCTTTCTTTCATACACAGCCTTCCGAATCAGGTATTTTACACTTCCAGCATATCTGTGTTTCTCCAGCCACCTTTTAAGCGCTCACTGGCACCATTTGGCTGGGGAGTATTGCATTAAGACACACATTTGTTGTGGATGTGTGAGCCTTGGCGAAAACATGACATAAATTCAGTAGTCTTTGTGAGGAGGTACAGTGCAGCCCTTCAAAGATTCCAGGTCAGTCGAGAAAATAGACACCTGGATGTTAAGAAGTATTTTAAGTGGATATCACTCTGGCTCTAGTCAAGATAACTGGGAATATAATTGATTGACTGCCAAGTGAGATGGCCGATAATTATCCTTAGGAATTCAAGGGAGGGATCCTTCAGCCTCTGCAGTAGAGAAGACTTGAGCACTGGTCTTGAAAGATGGGTAAGTCTTGGGCTGCTGGAAAAGATGGGGAGGGTGCTTTGGTTGAGGGGAAGGAACTGAGTACAGCTTCTTGGTTTTTAGGGTCAGCAGCTGGCAGAGTCCGGAGGCGTTCAGAGTGAAAAGGCTTCCCTTCCTACCTGGCCGTCCGCATCATGATTCACAGTCTATTCCTGATCAACTCCTCTGGGGATATTTTCCTGGAGAAACACTGGAAAAGTGTGGTCAGCCGTTCTGTCTGTGATTACTTTTTTGAGGCACAAGAGAGAGCTACTGAGGCAGAAAATGTGCCTCCCGTCATCCCTACCCCTCACCACTACCTCTTAAGCGTTTACCGCCACAAGATCTTTTTTGTGGCTGTGATCCAGACGGAGGTCCCGCCTCTGTTCGTCATTGAGTTTCTTCACCGAGTGGTCGACACATTTCAGGTTCGTGAACGTGGGAAGGTTCATGTATGTAAACTGTAAGGTGTTTTCTTGGTCCTGTTTCTCTTGTATTCAGCCTCAGCTGAGAAACTTTTTAAAAAATCACAATTGCGATATTGCTCACTACTTCTCCCGTTGGATCAGATTCCCATTTATATTTATTGAATTGGCTGCATCCAAAATGACATATTAAATACTTTTGGCACTGTTGAGTGTGAAAACCATCTTATTATGTTAATAGATCCAGTCCTACTTTTTGCTTACAAATTACAGGAGTTTAGGTTGTTTTTGTATACTGGACTGGATGCTAACTTGTTATTTGCTAAAGTGCTTTGAGTCGTGTCAAAAAGTGATGTGTGTAAAATTTTATAAAAGAAATAGGAAAAGCCAAGTAATACTTCACCGGTCCCTGATAGGGACAGTTAGTGAAGCCGTACCTCGTCTTGTATTTGGGGTGGTTATCCACAGCGTAGGAGGGCCAGCGATGAGCTTTTCATTGCAAACATAAGATTGAGAAATCTCATGTACCCATGAGAATCTAAGTGACACAGTTTACGAGATACAGTTTTCATTTTGAGGGGTTATTTTTTGGAAATAGATGTGAAGATCTCAGGGGACTGGGGTATGGGAGCTGTGAGTTATACTAGAATGTGAACATCATTTATAACACAGGATATTAGACTGCCCAGACTCTGGATTTAGGCAAGGAAATCTTCTTCCTAACAGAATCACTCAGCTGCTAACTCTTGTGGTGGTTTGCATAACCGCAATGATAAATGAGAAGCCAGGGTCCTGTGCTTTAGCTTCTGTCATGTGAGGTCTGGAATTCGTTACATGAATACAGGGATTGTGGAATTGGAAGAGAGAATGAGGACCCAGACACTATGATGAAAATGAAGAAGCAAGTTAGAGTCATGACTGCATCACGTGTGGAGAGCAGCTCTCATTCCCAAGAGAATTAAAATATGTTTTATAAGTTTTTCCCTACAAACACTCTCTGATCATAGTTCTCGTGAGTGATAGTACTCCTTTGCACAGGGAAGCCCAGCGTTACAAGTCCCAGTGGGCACCAGCGACCACCTCAACCCGATCTTGTTAGTGGTGCAGAATGTGGTACTTCATCTGAGTACCAACCCCGCTGGTGAAAGTCCACAGCTGGTCTGTACAGCCGTACAGTGATAGGATAGGAAGGAAAGTCGTTTGATCTGGTTGGAACCACGGAGGAGTCCAGGAAAGCAGACCACAGTGTGGGACTTCAGAGCTCGCCATTTTGAAGTGCTTGTTAGAAGTAAAGGACAGACCCGATCTTAATGTCTAATTTTATGTCATATCCTCTGGCAGCATTTCCTCCCCCCAGGGCTAGATTACGGCAGATGAGTTCAGCAGGAGCTACTGTGCCCTGCCCATTTTTTTCCTTTTTTTTAAAAAAAAATCCTCATTTCTTAGGATATTTTAGGAATACATTACTGACTCCTTGGTAATGGGTATTGGAATCTCTCTGATAATGGATATCTGATGTAATTTAGACCATATCTAGGAGAGTCCATTCAATTTTGGATGGCAGTGAAATAGAAAGATAGTCAGATGATCTGGAAACCATACCATATCATGAACAGTGGCAGGATCTCGGGGGTTTGGCCCTGAGAAGAATAAAACTTGAAGTGGGAGCTTGTAGTTGTCCTCACATAATGGCATGGGTGTTATTTAAACTGTTCTGTAAGGCAGCGCTAGGAGGGAAATTTCAGTTTAGCAAAAGAAAGAACTTTGTAATAATCAGAGCTATAGATGAATACAATCGGCTTTCTCCAAAGGGGTAAATTTCCCTTCATTGGATAAGTTTTCAGAGGTCTTATGAAAGACATAACTGGCATTGCCAGAGGGGTGCATTGAATGACCACAGACAGTTCTTTCTGAATCATTATCATGGGTTCCATTTTACACAGGGCTTCGTAGTTTGCAAAGCCCTTTCACACACATTGCCATGCGTAGTTCTCACATCCTGCGCCTCCGGTGGTGGTATCTTGATACCCTTAGAGAAATCAAGACCCAAGTTAGTTAACATCGCTTACCCTGGCAAGTGACAAGTAAGACTATAATCCAGGACTTCTAGTTTGAAATCTGGTGCTTTTTCTACAGTCCAGATAATTTAGTCTCTGAATTCAGCCTTTTTAATAAAAAGACTAAGAGTTCTTAGAGCCCTAGCATCTTAGGGATGATCAGAAGAGATTGAGGATGTGCTAGTTCATCCCCCTCATTTCATCTTTTCCCCCTCTCAACTCTTATTCAGAACTAAGAAATAGCACAGTAGGCCAGACGCAGTGACTCGTGGCTGCAATCCCAGCACTTGAGGAGGTCGAGGTGGGAGGATCCCTTGAGCATAGATGAGTAAGACCAGCCTGGGCGATGTAGAGACCTCCTCTACATCCCTCCTGAGAGGGAAGGAGTACAACATGGTTACGATTTTCAAGTACAGCTCTGTGTCTTATCTGCTGTTACTTTGCATAACTTACTCATATGTATGTTAAAGATTTGGGTTTGTGTTCGGTATATTTTACCATATTCAGGAAGTTTACCCAAAGAGGTTAATTGACTCCCTCTAGTTTATAGAAGAAGCAAGTGAAGGCATTAGTTCCATAAGCTGGCTGTCTGGGAGGACTGTGAGCGTGCCGCAGCCCTCGTTATGGACAAGGACCCCGGGACCCTGCACACAGCTGGACAGACCAGATCTTTACTGTCTAGGAGCATTTTTGTTACAGCCTGAGTGATAAAGGTGTCTGTCGTCAGGATTATTTTGGAGTGTGTTCAGAGCCAGTGATCAAAGACAACGTGGTCGTGGTTTATGAGGTATTGGAAGAGATGCTGGACAACGGATTTCCCTTGGCTACTGAGTCGAACATCCTGAAAGAGCTGATAAAGCCGCCCACCATCCTCCGCACGGTTGTCAACACCATCACAGGTACGGCGAGGGGGTGGGGGGACGCCCACAGGGAGCTGCTGCCGTCCCCGGGGGGGCTGCGTCTGCTGGTGCGCGCCGTGTTGAGTGTTTGTCTGTGGGGGCCTCAGTGTCCAGTGCCTTAATCTCTGAGTACAACCTGAAATCGTATTTTTGTTACATAGAAAATAGGCTGACTTTAATGACAAAATGAAGTGTTCTCCTTTTTGTTTATTTATTATTATTATTATTATTTTTAGAGACAGTCTTACTTTATCGCCCTCGGTAAGTGCCGTAGCATCACAGCTCACAGCAACCTCCAACTCCTGGGCTTAGGCGATTCTCTTGCCTCAGCCTCCCGAGTAGCTGGGACCACAGGCACCTGCCACAACACCTGCCTATTTTTTTGTTTGCAGTTCGGCTAGGGCTGGATTCGAACCCACCACCCTCAGTATATGGGGCTGGCGCCCTACCCACTGAGTCACAGGCACCGCCCAAGTGTTCTCCTTTAAAAATATTTTTTTCTCATTATGGAAGGAGTGTGACTATTGTAGAAGCTTTGGAAATACAGAGAAGCACGATGAGGGATGTGAACATCACTTTTCACCCCACCACACTGTTAACACGATGCTTTATGTATCTCCCATCTTTTCTAGAGGAATGAATGAAGGATGGATAGATGGAGAGATTTTAAAACAACTCTTACATGTCTTTAGGCTTTCATCAGTGTTTTATGAGCATTATCTTATTATATTCTTCTTAATCATTATTAATGACTTCATGGTTTTCTTCCGTGTGGAATGGACCCTATGATATTTACTTAATCTCTGTTTATGTTTCCGAATTTTTTTGTCCTTTTAAACAGCAAGGGATTGGCGTGGCGCCCGTAGCTCAGTGCCCGCCACATATACCAGGGCTGGTGGGTTTGAACCCGGCCGGGGCCAGCCAAACAGCAATGACAACTACAACCAAAAAATAGCTGGGCATTGTGGTGGGCCTGGTAGTCCCAGCTACTTGGGAGGCTGAGGCAAGAGAATTGCTTAAGCCCAAGAGTTTGATGTTGTGAGCTGTGACGCCACAGCACTCTACCGAGGGTGCCATAATGAGACTCTGTCTCAAAAAATGGAATAGAATAGAATAGAATAAAAAAATAAGGGATTGACATCTTGGGTGACTTTTTTTCAGAACTAGAAATGCCAGTGCTGTGTCAGGGGGTCTGCATTTTAGGGCATTGGGCCAGGTTTCTCTCCAGAAGAGTTACACCAATAGATCCTCTCAGCAGCAACTTCTGTGCACTGGAGCCAACTCTATTATTACTGATTTTCTAGAAACTCTGGCGATTTGGTGGTTTGTAGAAACCTTGTTATTTTGACACACCCATTTTTGATGATTAAGGACATTAAACCTGTTTCCAGGGTTTCTTTCTCTACTGCAGTTTGCCATTCCCTGTCTATTTTTTCATCATTTTTAAGTTGAAATGTTTTTCTTTTTTCACATTGATTTAAAAGAATTTCTTTCATTTAAGTCAGTGTTTTTCAGCCTTTTTTATCTTGTGGCCCACTTGAACCTGCCATTAAACTTCTGTAGCACACTTATGTTGATCCCCCCAAAAAAGATAGAAAAATATATATATACTTTGCTTGAACCTCTTTGAAAATAATTTAATTAATGATCTTTAAAACTTCACAATTGTCACGGCACACTGGTTGAAAATCCCTGATTCACGGTACGTTGGACATAAGCGTGGCAGTTTGTGGAGGTCTTTGTGTGTTCTGGTCTTAAGAACTTCAGCCAAGCGGTACTCAACCTGTGTGAAGTTTTAATAATTTAAAAATATGATCTTGGAGAGCGGGTGCAGTAAAGTCTAAAATCTTTACACTCACCCCTGTAATCCCAGCACTGGGAGGCTAAGGCAGGCGGATCACCTGAGCTCAGGACTTCGAGACCAACCTGAGCTAGAGCAAAACCCTGTCTCTAAAAATAGCAGACATTTTGTCAGGTACCTGTAGTCCCAGCTACTCAGGAGGCTGAGGCAAGAGAATCGCTTTGAGCCCAAGAGTTTGAGGTTGCTGTGAGCTGTGATGCCATGGCACTGTACCGGGGATGACAAGTGAGACTTTGTCTCAAAATAAATAAATGAATATATATATATACATACATATATAATATTAGTGCAGTATTGGAAAAACATAGGAAGTCCAGAAGCAGAGTCTTGCTTTATAGGCACTTGGCCTGGATAGATGAGGTCATCTGTCAAATCAGTGGACCAAGAACCAGTTGTTAAATATAACGTATTGGATAGTTAGCCTTGCTATGGGAAGAAAATTAAGTTCCTCCACTTCATAAAGCACATAAAGTGAGTTCCATCTAGATTAAGGAGTTAAACAGAAACTTTATGATTATTAGAAGGAAACATAGGAGGATTTTGATCTTGGAAAAGGGAACATGATCTTTTCTCGAAAGTGCATTTTCTTCTAGTTCTTTTATGTTTTTATTTTTGGATTTTATATTTTAGTCCATTTGAAACTTGTTAGGGGTAAAGCTCTATGTTTATTTCCCCAGAGTTAACAGTTTTCTTAGCACCATTTATTAAATAATTTAGTCTTTGTCCCTATTTTAAAGGGATAGTTTTTTCGCAGCCAAGCCAGGAAAAAAAAAATGATAGTTGATCTTGTAACGTCACGACTGTCATTATGGGTTCTTGGTCTGTTTTTAGACTTTACTGCCTTCACATAATACTGCTTTGATTATTCTGGCTTGATGGTATTTTTTAGTACATAGAACCTCTTGTGAAGAAAACAAATTTGGTGGGTTTTTCGATATTCTGAGCTCATTTTAAGCCTTTACGGCTTTGTTGGTGCCTGATCATTTATGAATACTGTGAAGTTAGTTAAGGCTCTATTTCATTCAGTTTAATCTAGAAAAGGTATCTAAAGGACCACTTTTGAAAACTTGAAATATTTTTTAAAATGGTGAACATATGCACGTTTAGTGTTTCTTTTTTTTTTTAGATTTTAAAAAATCCAGCAATGGAAGGAGGAGGTAGAATTTATACTATACTTTGCAATATTTTATTATTTCAGTATAAAACGTTTGAATTAAAAATATTTTTTTGGATGCCCATGGAGGGAAATACAAAGAAAAGAAGCTGATCTACAACTCGTATGGACAGGGAGGCATCAACTTCCTATTCTTTTCCTAAATTTCAGAATTGGCATCAGACAGACCGTATTGATGCATACATTTTAATTTTAATACCTATTGTAAAGGTACTTAAGAACCTCCCTCAAACTGGAATGCTGTCTTTACCCCATGAAGATTTTATATCAATATGTAGATTACCAACCCCGCTGAAAGCCAATACATTATTTAAGTTGCAAGCTATTGTGGAATTTGAGATACTAAGTTCAGGTTACTTTCAAAACCAAAATATGGTGTCTGTTTCTCAGGTGACTTTTTAAAACCTTGATTCTGCTGGAGGAGGCAGATGAGATGGCGACAGGAGTCTTTAAAATAGATGAGGTTATTCCATTCCTGTACGGAGGTTGTGGAAACTCATCTCCTGTTTGAAAAAAGACTCTTCAGTTGAGTCCATGACTAGTGGGAACACAGAAACTTACAGAGAAATGTTCTCTGGTTATTATGATAAAATTGTCATTAACAATCATATTGTCCCAGGAAGCACCAACGTGGGTGACCAGCTTCCCACTGGACAGCTGTCTGTGGTGCCTTGGCGACGGACTGGGGTGAAATACACCAACAATGAGGCCTATTTTGATGTGATCGAAGAGATCGATGCCATTATTGATAAGTCGGGTAGGTGCTTTTAATTTGTTCTCAAAATTATGAAAAATAAAGGCCCCTTTCACATAATGCTTGCTGGAATCAGAATTATCCTCCACTCAAGAGCATTCATGTTAGTGCCGACTTGGTGTCGGGAACTTTAGCAAGTCCTGGGGAGGGACGTCGATATGATGATGGAGACCAGAGTTTGCCTCACAGTTTTTTAGATATTACCCTCTTGAATAAAAAAGAGAAGTAACAAACTAATCTCATTGATTAGATTTCATTTTTTTTTGAGGACAGAGTCTCACTTTGTCACCCTGGGTAGAGTGCTGTGGCATTATAACTCACAGCAACCTCAAACTCTTGGGCTCAAGAGATCCTATTTCCTCAGCCTCCTAAGTAGTGGGGACTACAGGTGCCTGCCACAATGCCCAGCTTTTTTTTTTTTTTTTAAAGACGGGACTTTCACTCAGGCTGGACTCAAACTCATGGGCTCAAGCAGTCCACCTGCCTCGGCCTCCTGTAGTGCTAGGATTACAGGTGTGAGCCACCACGCCCAGCCATTTTAGAGTATTTGACTCCCAATTCTGATGACAGAACTAGAGTTGTAATTACTAAATTTAAGAGAGCCTTTTTTTCTATCCTGAATTAGGTATACATGACTAGAAGTCCTAGAGCTTAGGAACTTGTAGAAACCCAGCATGGGGGCAGCACACACCTGTAGTCCCAGCTACTCAGGAGGCTGAAGCAGGAGGATCACTGGAGCCCAGAGTTGAAGGTTACAGTGAGGTACGATTGCACTGTGCCCCCAGCCTGGGCACATCGCAAATCCCATCTCTAATATGGACTTACTCATTCAGCAAATGTTTACCGAAAACTCAAGTTATAGCACCGTGCTGGATATTGGGCATCTGATGATGAATGAGATACAGTCTGAGCCCCAGAAAGCTCAAGGTCTAGTGAGGGGAAGAGAAAGGTCCAGAGGTGGACGCCGAGAGCTACCCGCCCTGTCCTGAGTGGAGAGTACAGAAGGGAGAGTATATCTGCTTCATCACTAGGGCGGATGGAAATATGACTGCATGGCTTTGGGAGCAAATATGGACAAACACTCTAAAATGAGTAAAATGTTGTCAGGAAATAAAGTAGGTAAGTGTAACAGGATTGAGAGGCATAAGAGATAAGCAAGTGGTGAGGCTTTAAAACTAAGCAGGTGGGGGAGCTTTCCATGCCACCCCAGACTGGAAATAACCCAAGCGTCCAAGTGTCCACAGCAGTAGGAAGGCAGAATAAATTTGGATGTGGTTGTACAGCAGGATCCTCCACAGTCAGGAGCAAGTGGACTACGGGTGTCCCCAGCAAGGTGAAGGAATCTTGCAACCTTGAGCCATAAAGTCAGATTCCTGAGATTACAAGCAACGTTATGTGCCCATGAAGGTTGAAAACAGGTGCGGTTTAATCCAAGGTGGTCCAAGTCAGAATTTGGGGGATGCAGATGAGTTGAGATGGACAAGAGGGAGCGAACTGGGGTGCTGACAAGGCCCCACGAGTGCTGCGGGTGGTGCTTGCATAGACGTGTGCGTGTTTAACAGTTCACCTCGCTGTACAGTGAAGAGGCTTGTATTTTACCGTTTAACCTCAGTGGACAAGTTAAAAAGGAAAGAAAGAAAATTGATAGATTATGAAGGGTCTTGCGTCCCATTTTAACGGGGCCATCAGGAGGGACCAAAGCGTTCTAAGTTGGGGAGTAACTGATTAAGTCTGTAGTCGGGGCAGCGCTGCCCAACCTTTTTGGCACCAGGGGCTGGTTTCATGGGAGACAGTTCTTCCACAGAGTGGGGCAGAGGGATGGTTTCAGGATGATTCAGACATGTTACCTTTACTTTACTGTGCACTGTCTTCTATTATTATTACATTGTAACATATAATGAAATAGTTATAAAACTCACATAATGCACCTGCAGCTCACTTGTCGCTTCCTGGCTAATTGGGTGTTGATGAGTCTGCAAGCAGCGTCTTTGTCCTGGTCTCTGTGCAGGCAGACCTCTCCGCCCTTGATTATCTGTATCTGAGCCTCTCTCCACCTCAGGTCCCCAGGGTTAGATCCCCATAAGGAGGACAGCCTAGACCCAGCGCGTGCAGTTCACAGCGGGATTGGTGCTCCTGTGAGAATCTAATGTAGCTGCTGATCTGACAGGAGGCGGAGCTCAGGGGGTGAGAGTCGTCCCAGTGGACAGTCCCTCAGGCAGGAGTTGGGCTGAACAAGGGAGCAGGAAATTATCTGCCATCCAACACCAAAGGCTGGAGCTAGTTGAAATGACTCGGGGGCGCGTGCAGGTGAGAAGTTCAGGACTGTGGAGAAGCGTTTAGGGATGTGCAGAGAAGGGGAAACTGCAGACGGCCCTGAGGAGGACGCACTGGGCAGGAGGAAGTGGGAACGGGCTCAGTAATGCTCTGCTCATACGCTGCAGAGGGGTCGTGCTGGACAGAGATCAGGAGTGTCCCTCTGATGTAGCAGCAGAGCTCGTGGGTGCCCTTAGGGAGAGCAGTGCTGATAGGAAGTTTTCCGAACGTCTAAGAGGTGATGCCCTGTTCAATTCTGATAGTAGACTGGAAACTCCTGCAGGCTGATAACTGATCACTCGCCTTTCAGTCCCATGGCTTCCTCCTAGTGTTTCGTACTTGATATGCAGGTGATAAATGTCTGGAAGGGCAGGGACATGGGTGTATAAACAAATTGGACGGTGGTGCACGGAAGGAGGGGCGGGAGGGAGGGCCAGCGGGAGCAGTGAGGTGGGGGCAGAGGACCCGTCGGTGACCTCTGCCGTCCCCTTGCCTCTTGTCCTGCCTCAGGCTCCACAGTCACCGCCGAGATCCAGGGTGTCATCGATGCCTGTGTCAAGCTGACCGGGATGCCAGACCTCACGCTTTCCTTCATGGTAAATCCTGGGCCAGAGATGGAGTTCTGGGGGTGAGACGGGGGTGAGAGTGGAACAGAACAAGGAGGAACAACGGGGACAGCTACCAAGCTTGTGTCGGGCTTAAACTTCCTAGACGTAGCTGTAGAATTCCTCTGTGTGTGCTTTTTAGTAAAAACAGCATCTAAATCACGTTCATGAAAGGATACGGTGTTAACCCCTGCTTCTTGCTCTTCCATGCCGGTCGCTGCAGAACCCCAGGCTGCTGGACGATGTCAGCTTCCACCCGTGTGTCCGCTTCAAGCGCTGGGAGTCCGAGCGTATCCTGTCCTTCATCCCCCCCGACGGCAACTTCCGCCTGCTGTCCTACCACGTCAGCGCGCAGAAGTAAGTGGAATCCCTGTCTGCGTGGAGACCGTATCTGTAGTGATTCGGAACTCAGGCTCTAGAGTTACCTGGTACAAGTTCCAGCTTCTACCGTTACTAACTGGGCCACTTTGGCTCAGGGGCTTGACCTCTCTGGTGCTGTTTTTCCATCCGAGAGTTGAAAATCATAAAAGTACCTTGTTACAAGGGTTGCCTGAGAGAATCTAATTAGCGCTGAACATAAATAAGTGCTCATTAATTTGCTGTCGTTTTTGTTATAGGTGCCGTGTCTAAACAAGAACATTCTCTTCTCAAATTCAAATCTGAGCATACCTGTATTAATACCCTGACCCAAAAGAAGCATTATGTTATGCTTTGAAAAAGCATAAAATGCCATGATTTTTTGGTCTTGAACATTCTCATTCATTTCGGGGCAAAGGCCTTAGAAACAGTATTGTGTAGCAGAGCTGTGTAGACAGGGGAGAGCCAGGAGACCTCAGAGTCACCAGCAGCCCCCTGTGTGATTTGGGATAAATCATTTAGGAAAATGTCTGAGTCAAAATATCCGCGGTTAAAGCATAAAGCATCTGGAATCCGACTTCCTGGACTGGAACCGCATCCTCAGTACCTCCCTGACTTGTCCTCATCCTTTAGAAAGAGGATAATGTGTCTGCAGAGATTAGGATCCACTTCGCACTTCTGAGGTGGCACCTGCTGTCCTGCTGCTTCCTTCTACGCGGGTTGAATGAGAGAAGGGTTAAACCGCTAGAAGGCGATCGATCGATCGATCGGCTTGGTGACTGGCACAGGGGAGTGCTCCGTAGATGGAGGGGACAGTCACTGCTCGGGATTCCTCTGTGACTTCTTGGAGTCGTTTTCCTCTTCCGTCACCTCACGGCTGCCTCCCCCGCCTCCGAGGGTTTTTGCGAGGACCAGATGAGGTCAGAGGAAATCACGCCCGAGAAGTTAGGAAAGGCCCCTGAGGTGCAGACGGTGACTTGTCACATGTCACACGTGCGGTGGCTCTTGGTTCCAGCTTGCTGTGCCTTTCTAGACTTGTATGTTCTTTGATTCTGTTTATGTCACTCAGAGTCAGTAGAAGGGTCAGTTTATGTAACCGGCAGTATCTTGGCGGATCGCTAAGGAAAAATTAGATTGCTGAGGGGGTTTGTCTGTTCTTGTTAAGATGAAGAGTAAGGACAGAGGTAAAGCAGAAGCTGCCAGCGGGGCAGAAACAGCACCACGTGAAAGGAGGCCATGTTGCCATTTTCCCCGGGCGTTAATGAAATGGGCTTTTCCTCTCTCTCTCTTCCAGTCTGGTTGCAATTCCCGTGTATGTCAAACACAGCATCAGTTTCCGGGACAGCAGTTCCCTGGGACGCTTTGAGATTACCGTGGGCCCCAAGCAGACCATGGGGAAGGCCATCGAGGGCGTGACAGTCGCCAGCCAGATGCCCAGAGGCGTCCTGAACATGAGCCTCACCCCGTCTCAGGGGACACACACATTTGATCCAGTCACAAAGGTGAGGGGCGGGCAGGACGTGGTGAGTGGCCAGTGAGCCACTGGTGTTACAGGGAAGCAACTCCGCAGGGCGCTCGCCGTGGGGGGCTGACCAGAGGGACTTAGTTTTCTCCTTTGAGGTAACTTAGGGTGACAAGGTGCCTTCTCTACTGAGAAACACCCGTTATGGGATGGCAGCTTATCATCTTGTGAACAGATACCTGGGGTGAGAGCTCAACCACTTGAAATGAATAAAAATTCACGGTAACGGATTTTCTATTCGAATGACCACTTCTCCGTCTTATGTTCTTTGAAGATGCTGTCTTGGGATGTAGGAAAAATAAATCCCCAAAAGCTACCAAGTTTGAAGGGGACCATGAGTCTTCAGGCTGGAGCTTCCAAACCTGATGAAAACCCCACGATTAATCTGCAGTTTAAGATCCAGCAGCTGGCCATTTCCGGTGAGTGACCAGAGCTCACGTGGCTTTGAGGGGACTAGAAGTGGCTTTGCCCTGTCAGGCACAGAGGTCAGAAAGGCTCCCTGTTCACAAGCAGGTTTCACTGCCTGATCGTAATCCTCTGTAAAACCTTTTCCACACGTTTATGGGGAGACTTTATAGTCCCTACTTTGAAATTGGCGCAAGTGACCTGAATAAAAGTGTCAGGACAAAAATGAGAAGGGGAACAATATCAGTAGAAAGAAGTGAGCACGGCCCAGGGTGGGGTGGTCTCGGGATGGTTCAGCTGGGGCTGCCGAGGGTTTCCGTGCGAGAATGTACATCCTCAGGTGTAACCCAAAAGAACAGTTCCTATGCCTTTCTCCCAGTGCCAGACGACTTCTGCGTCTGCCTCTCTTGTCACTGTGGAACCATGGGGCCCGTCCAGCTCTGCTCCCTGTCATCTGCCCACCCCACGGTGGCAGGACACTGCCGCGGAGCTGGTGCTCCTGGGCCAGGCACCCTGTCAAGCTCTTCTCATGTGTTTTCTTTCTTTCTTTCTTTCTTTTTAATTAAATCATAGCTGTGTTCATGCGTTTTCTTATTCGACCCTTAGAACAGCCCTGTTAGGTAGAAAGAGGGTTTTAGCTTTCTATGAAGTTCCCATTTGTCTTTACTTATCCAATTTAAGTTATAATTCATTTCATTTGTAAGCTCTTCATCTTAACCACTTAGTAAACTACAAAGCTCTATACAATATAAAAGACGTGTGCTTCATTCGGTGAGAAAACGTAAGAACATTCATTGATTAATTCATTACTTTTCATTTATTTAGAATTTATTATTTGTGTATCTTGTTAATAATTCACTAATTTAGTCCAATTAACTCGAGAGGACCACGCCGTGCTCCTGTTTCTCCTTATCTTTGTTTTAAGTCTGCACGTCCCTCTCTGCACATCCACGTCAGGGGCAAGTCTTCTCATAGGAAGGCTTTTTGGGTGGAGCCATTTTTTTGCTGTGTTTGTCCCGAGAATGGAGAATCTGCCAGCTCTGAATAAATGCTCCCGTGTCACCGTGATCTCTGTGATTGGAATGAATGGGAACAGTTCTGCTGCCTGCTTCTTTTAAATAATGCATCTCCTGGCTTGGCGCCTATAGCTCAACCGGCTAAGGCGCCAGCCACATACACCTAAGGTGGTGGGTTTGAATCCCCAGCCCAGACCTGCCAAACAACAATGACGGCTGCAGCCAAAAAATAGCCGGGCGTTGTGGCGGGTGCCTGTGGTCCCAGCTACTTGGGAGGCGAAGGCAGGAGACTCGCTTGAGCCCAGGAGTTGGAGGTTGCTGTGAGCTGTAATGCCAGGGCACTCTACCCAGGGGGACAGCTTGAGGCTCTGTCTCAAAAAAAAAAAAAAAAATAAAATAATGCATCTCCTTTTTCTTCCCTCCCCTCCAGGCCTCAAAGTGAATCGTCTGGATATGTATGGAGAAAAGTACAAGCCTTTCAAGGGTATAAAATACATGACCAAAGCTGGGAGATTCCAAGTGCGAACTTGAAAGGAGAGTTCTTCAGAGGGACAGTCATGAACGCTTCCTTACTTGATTAAGAGTAAAAAATATCAGCCTGTCCCCTAGGTCAGTCCCTTCCTGGACCTGCCCGCTCCCTTTTTTCCTCAGCGTTTGGTGCCACGGAACTGATCAGGGGAGGAAGGGGTCACCAGTGAGAACTGGACGGAACCAAAACCCGGTCAGCACAGCTCAGTTCTCAAGGAAGAGCGTGGGTGGAGGGCGGCAGTGCTTGGTACCAGATTTAACTATTTTTAACACAGTTACCATAGAAAAACACAAGATTTGTTGCTTGTGGGCTTTAATTATCTAAAGCCACTAAAAGACTTAATTGTTGATTTTTTTTTTCCTAAGGTAGAAAGATTAGAAGGCAGAAAGATAGGGAGAAAAAAATGAGCGTTAGAAAAAGGCTGTCTGAAGATCTGATCTGCGAGGGATGAGGGGGAGATTTAGAGGAGTTGGGAAGAGATGCTGACAGGGGACCGGCGAGAAAAGCCATTAGACGCTACACCAGGGAGAGTCTGAACAATGAATGGAGTTGGTTTCTTTCAGATCCCTCTGCTCTTCTATAAAAAGCATTTACACTTGTAGAAATGAGTCGGAGACTCAAATTCACGTCCACTATTGACGTGGAAACCACAGCTGAGTCAGGTTTTCCCTGAAGACTGCGACGGTATCTGCCCAGTTTCCAGATAACTGACTGTTGCTGCCCTTAGCACTGGGTCTCTCGTCTTCAGTGAAAGGTGACCTGCCTTCTTCCCATGCTGGTGGCCTAAAATGCCTCTTTCCCTCACCCAAAACAAAAAACAGTTCTACTCACTTTAGGGAATTCACCGGCCTTTTTCCTATACCTGACTCTTCCTGAAAAGTAGGAGAGTTTGAGAAAAGCCAATCCCATAACCCCCAGTGCAGCCGGATTTTGTGTGTCTTAGTTGTAGAGTCGAGGTGGCTCACTTGCTTCCGGGGAAGGTGGGTCTCAGCTCTCAGTGCTGGGTCCTCAACCAGCCTGATGGAAACTCTTATCAGTTGCCCTAAGTGAATAGAAGGCTTACCTTTGAGGCTGTGGTAGGTGCTCGGAGCTGCTTGGTAGTGTTAATTCCTTAGTCTTTCATACTCTATCATGTATTTATTTGTTTTTTGAGACAGAGTCTTGCTCTGTCGCCTGGACTGGAGTGCAGTGGCGTCATCATAGCTCACAGCAACCTCAGAGTCTTGGGCTCAAGCAATCCTCTTGCCTCGGCCTCCCAAGTAGCTGGGACCATAGCCATGCAGCACCACAGCTGGCTGATTTTTCTATTTTGGGTAAAAACAGGGTCTCGGGATGTGGCGGAGGATGGTCTTCGACTCTTGGCCTCAGGCGATCCTCTGGCCTTGGCCTCTCAAAGTGCTAGGACTACAAGTATGATGCCTGGCCCTGTGTGTTTATTAACAGTAGATATCTACCAGCCCCTTTTTAAGACAAAAGAAATCCTTTCTATCTTTGAATAAAATTAATGTCGTACGAAGGTGGCTATGTTGGTCATGGGTGTAAATAAGCCGATTTAAGACACAAGGCAACTGGAGGGATACCTCAGGCTTTCCCGGGGGCAACTTCAATTCTAGTTCAGTGTGTTATTACTATTTAAATATTATATAAAAGAGTTTTTTAATTGTAGCTTAGGGGATGACATTGTGTTCTGCTTCATGCATGGAGAAAAAGGAAGACCTGTACTATCCAAAGCTCACAAGTTTTCTCTAGAGCCCTGTTTACAAAAAATGTGTGTGAATGTTTTGCTCCTTTTCTCTGCCTACTTTGTGGACTAGTCTCTGTTGCAGAGTAACGTTGCTTTGTGATTTCTCTGTGGGACAGGCTGCTGTGTACACCCAGATGCGCTTGCCACCCCTCACCCAGAACTAGTCCTGGGCTGCCGTGGTCAGGAAGCGTCTCTGCTGTGCCTTCCCTTGAACTTGGAATCACTTCTCCCAAAGTTTCCCAGGTCACAGGGAACAACTGATCTTGATTTCTGAATATTTTGGAGTTTATAAGTATAGCTGTTTTATTTCTTCTGGGGAAGCTCATCCTATTTCAGGGGAAGTTCCTGAGAATAATTAAGATGTTTATAGAGTCGGGGACCTGCAGATGTAAGCGTATGAGGAGCCTACCCGTCACGTTGGATGTACAGCAGACCTTGCTGCCACCACCCTGCAGCAGGGGGGGTCAGCCTCAGCAGGGCGGGGGTCTCCAGCAGGCTGCTCAGTTCCGTGTGTGTTGAACATCTGCAGAAGTGGCCTCTCTGTCTACACTGTAATAAAGTGAGTTTTACCTGCCCTCTGTGTCCTGAGTGCTGTTTCTATCGCTGACCTAATGCAGGGCCATGAGTGCCTCACAGGAGGTCGGGGAGGAGCTGGCCTCAGGAGGGTCGATCTTAATGCCTTGATCCCCTTCAGCCAGCGTAGAGTTTGGGTCTGTAGTCACTCGGGAAGAGGGGTGTTGCTATGAACATCATTTTTAAGGTTGTAAGAACTAAGGTCCAGTTCCTTTAAATTACTTTTCCCTGGGGTGTAAAAGACAAAACCATTAAAGTTGCGGGTGTCTGTTCTAGTACTGTCCCCATTGTCTTCACCTGCTTCTCAGTTGATTAGGGATGAAATGAGGCTTTAAGGTACTAGACATCTTTACTGTAATGGAGGTTTCTTGGAAAATAAGGCATTGGGAGTCAGGCCAGGGAGACCCCATCATTCCAGTGTCTGCAGTAGACGCTCACGAAGGCTTCTGTTTGTCATCGGCATTTCCTGTAGGTGCTTCATCCTGCCTTAGCCAGCGTGCCCTGCGTGGCCTGTGCGTGCAGAGTGCCCTGCCGTGGCCCTGGTGTGGTTCGCTGCGTGTCTGCAAGGTTGCTGTGTATCTGTCCTTTCCTCTGTGGCCAGTAGGTGGCGACCCTGTGCCATCTATCAGTTTCTCTCTTTTTTTTTTTTTTTTTTTGGAGACAGCCTCACTGTCACTCTGGGTAGAATGCAGTGGCGTCATAGCTCATGACAACCTCAAACTCCTGGGTTCAAGAGATCCTCCTGCCTCAGACTCCTGAGTAACTGGGACTATAGGTGCCACCAAAACACCCAACTAATTTTTCTATTTTTAACTTAACTTCTAGCTCCTAAGGACTGGGGATTGTGTGTGGGGGTCTTTGGCTTTTGAAGTTAAAGGGAAAATAAAAAGTGTAATTAATAAAGTCACACACTCTGGGAAGCAGCAGCCCCACCCGGAGCTCAGGGTCCTCACCCATTAAGATGAACTGCAAAGTGACTTGGGAATCTCTGCTGTTCTGCGGGGCTGTTGGCATCTGTTTTATTAAACAGCTGGGGACGATGAGGAAATCACATTCACCCCCGCCATCCTCCACGAGCTCCAGGCGTGTTAGCCTGGATTTCCTGACCCGTCCCACCGTCCAGGGGAGGGACCTGCTGCTCCTCAGCAGGGTTTCACGATAAATCCAGCGAACTCTACCCTCGCCCTCAGGGGCCTCTTCTGAGAGTCATGGTTTCCAGGACTCCACCAAGGACTGGTGGGTCCTCCACTGGAGGACACTTCACTAGCCTGCCTTCTGCCTGGGGCGGGAGCCTGAGCACTGTGGTTATCACTGGTCAATGATGTCTTCCTGAAATGGCTGAGATACACAGCTGTGCGCAATAAGATACACAGCTGTGCTTGTAAGCAAACAGCCTGAAGTCAAGAAATCTGTGGTTTAAATCTACATGACTTGTATTTATTTCATTGATATGGGGACGTGAGCATTTTAGGGACATCTCCTTCTCCCCAGGTCAAGCTCTTGGGCTTTAGAGTATCTATGGGTGAGTTTAAACTATTTTTCTTGCAAGAACCTCTCAATTGAGGAGTTCTGACAACCCTTCAAGAAACAGAGACAACTTGACCGTGTTCCCCTCGCAAAGTGTCAGCACACGCCCCGCAGTGGCATTGCGGCGTCCTCAGGTTATTCTTGGAACTAGGGCATCGGTGATGATAGAGCTGGCAGGCAGCAGGCAGGAATAGGGGCTGCATCTCACAAGTAGAAAGAAAGGAGCTCAGAGAAGCGGGGAGCAACGTTAGGTAACACACTCATGCAGACCGGTCTGGGGCTTAATCTGACAAGCAGCAAAGTGAGACAGCGAGGGAGACGCACGGCCCAGTACTCAGCACCAGCGTCTAGTGAGAGCCGAAGTTTGGGACGTGGCTGTCAGCAAGGTCAAGCTAGCTCTTCCTTGCTGTCTGGGGAGCCTCCCCACATGTCTGCTCCCTTCCAGTCCCACTCAGGTAGTTTTTCTAAGGCGTTCCTGAGCAAGAATTTGAGGGGCTCCTGTTGCCTACAGAACCCCATCCAAACTCAGCGTGACTCTCAAAGCCTAGTGGCCTGAGTCCGGCGCACCCCTCTCCGCCAGGCTCACTCTGCTCACACTCCCTTGGCCTCTGGGTACTGGTGTGCAGAGACCTAGCTCTTTGTCTCCGGATCGCCTTCCCTGCATCCGTCCATGGTGCAAATCTCAGCCCGTTTGTGAAAGTGCTCCCTGATCCAACGTTTTCCTCAAGATCCCCGCCCTCCTGACCCCTGACTTCCACTGAGAATCCCTGCCACTGTGTGGCCATCTCCATCCACCTTATTTATCGTCCTGCCAAACCAAGCCTTGCTCCCCGCGCCACCTTTTTGCTGCCCATGCCGTGTATGAATTATTGCACGTACCTAAGTGAATGAAATACTTCAGATAATTTTAAAAAGTGAACATAGGGCAGCACCTGTGGCTCAAAGGAGTAAGGTGCCGGCTCCATATACCGGAGGTGGTGGGTTCAAACCCGGCCCCAGCCAAAAATTGTAAAAAAAAGTGAACATACATAAACAAACGCAGTGGGATGCTGCATATGTCACAAAACCATTCCACTCTGATTTTGTGAAAAATATATCTGAATTTATTATTTAAGTACAGTATAATACAGGGTTAGAGCAACAGAAAGTAAAAACTACAACAGATTGATATAAATATGCTAAAGCCTAGTTGTAGTTATTTTATTATAAAATTCATAAAGAAGATTTACACTGTATACAGAAGGAACAGCTTCCAGGAGCCGTGGATGGAGAAGCCCAGGTTTGAGGGGTGCTCCAAGGGACAGAACGCGCTGGGCAGCCCGGCCCCTCTGTAGCCCCGTAAGCTCCTGCAACCTCAGATGTACATCCTATTTCTAACACGTGTCTTTCCTGAAGAATCTAGGGTTCTGGGTTTGTTTTATTTTTTAACTATGAAAACATGCTGTTCTTTTGGGGGGCCCATTTCCAAAGTGGCTCACAGTGACAGAGGAGGAGATCGGCTTTGGGCTGAGAACCAGGTGGCTCACCAGTTGTCTCTCTAGTTGGTCTTGCCGGGGGGCTCACCAGGCTTCTATCTGTCTTCCCGTCTGACAGAATATATTCTGAAATCAGACCTTAACCCCTGAGAACTTCCAAAACGGGAAGGGTCTGTGGACACACACACTCTTCCCTCTGTCTGCAGGTTCTCTCCTGTTCTGTGGGGGGGTCCGTGGGAAGCGGCGTCCCTCCCGCGCAGGCCTTCTGAGGGGAAGAAGGAGGGTCTCACGGGCTTCAGGGGCTCTTGGTCATGGTCGCATATTGTCTCGAATCCAGTCTAGGTAGTTGGTGACCTTGGTGTATACCCCTGGGACATCCTTCTGCCCACAGCCGAGGCCCCAACTGATTATGCCCACCAAGGTCATGCGGTTGTCCTTCAAACACACCAGGGGGCCTCCTGAGTCACCCTGCAAAGGAGGGAACAGCTTAGCTGTTTGCAAAAAAGGCAGACTGTCGGGCGAGGTGGGGGGGTGTTAGGTTTAGAATTTCTAGGGTGAACACTGTAATCTTCAAAGTACAGCAGGTCCTTGATAAATATTTCATTTAATGTCATTCTGCTACAATTCCGATGAGAAAAAAAATTGATTCCTGCAGGGGCCGCTGTCGGCAGTTTGCATGTCCCCCCCCATGTTTGCGTGAGTCTCCCCCCCTCATCACAAAGCTGTGCCTGTTACTCACAAGTGTGTGTCGTCTGGCCTGTGTGCACATGGGGGTGTGTTAGCCTCTGCCAGTGAACGGTGGCCTGTCCAGCCTGGTGCCCACCAGTGCCCTGAGCTGCTAGGACAGGCCCCAGCCACCTGAGACCTAGAACTGGAATAACTGGGTAAATGAGTATCTTACTTGTTTTTATTAAATGTATGGATAGGTTTTATTTTAACATTTATTATTAAGTTTGGGAGGGTCTTTAGAAGTTCGGTGATGTTTTGTGACCAGAACCACACTGTGGGAATCTGACTCTCTTCTGTTACTCCAGGGCAAAGCCGGTGTCCTCACGCTTGTTTCTCCTACAATTGCAGTTTGCAAGAACTTCTTTTCCCCAGATAGAATGTTCAGTGCAGACTTACTGTTTTTAGTTCAGAAGGTGAAAATTTTATCTCAATTATCTTGATCCTCTAGAGGATTAGGCTGTTTCTACTCTAGTAAAGTAGAACTGAGATAATTGCCAGGACATTTCAGACAATCCCCCTCTGGCTCTGCCTTTTACCAACCGGGTGGCCGTAGGCAAACTGTGCTTCCCTTTCCTTATCTGTAGAATAGACGTGAGGCCATCTACCTACCTCCTAGGGTTGTAAAAGGGACTAATTGGAAGAGTGCATGAAACCTGCCAAAAATAACACGTGAGACGTGGTGATTGTTAGGTGTTGTCGCATCAAAATGATTTTTTGTTTTTAATCTTAAGCATGCAGATAGATTCTGTTTCACTTTGATAACGACCTTTTCTGTTTTTGTTTTTGTTTGTTTAAGACAGGGTCTCAGTCCCTCACCCTGGGTAGAATGGCATGTGTCACAGCTCACAGCAGCCTCAAACTCCTGGGCTTAAATGATCCTCCCCCCTCAGCCTCCTGAGTAGCTGGGACTACAGGCACCCACCACAACGCCTGACTAGTTTTTCTATTTTTCAGTAGAGATGGGGTCTCGCTCTTGCTCAGGCTGGTCTTGCACTCCTGAGCTCAAGCGATCCTCCCACCTCAGCCTCCCCGAGTGCTGGGATCACAGATGATAGGACCTTGTTTTGACTGGTCACTAGGTGGTAGAGTTGAGGTTTCTGAAAAGAAACCAAATACCGTCAAGGAACCAAAGGGGAAAAGCCACTGATGTGATGACTTTGTGAAAACCCAAACCATATAGGCTTCAATGCAAGAGGCTGCAGCAGATCCTGGGCGCCTGCAGCAGATCCTGGGCGCCTGCAGCTCCCACCCCTAAGGGAGAGGCTGGGAGGAGCAGGAATGGCCACACGGAGGCCTCAAGGCCAGCAGGTTGTTCTGTCCCCAGCCCCTTATCTTGCTAATCACAAACTGTATGTATGGACTCTGATAAGAATGCCAACACAGGGAACCAAAAATAGATCCCTTCCTAGGGTCTAGGGTCGCTTCTAACACTCACTTTTCACAAACCACCCCTGTCCTACGGCCCCTCCTCCCTTCTCCTTCTACATAGCGGACTCCACCTCTCTAGCACCCACAAAAGCTGATAATTTCTGAACTGTGTTGCCGTCACTTCAATGACCGCTAAAGGAAATCCTGCACCAGGTGGAGTTTCCTGTTCAGACACAGGGGAAATTTCCTGCAGTTTAGGTAACTTTGATCTTTCTCCAGCTCTCTGAAGCCCTGATCTGGGTTCCCCAGGGCCTTGCTGAGATGAATTCACTCCAATTTGGCTGTAACGTTTGCTATTTGGTTCAGAACCTGTCGGCCAAGGGGCATTCTTATCCCGGGACGTGCCCAGAGCCGATTGTGTTTACCTGGCAGGCATCGTGCAGGTTGGGTTGGTTCCCTCCGGTCCGGGTGTCTCCGGCACACAGCATGTTGCTGGTGACAGTTCTGTTAAACAAATGCTGTGACGTGCAGCGGCTGGCTGGGTACAGCCTGACGTGAGCCTCTTTGAGCTGCTCCGAGTAGAAAGGAGAAGCTAAGAGCGAGAGGAGAAGCTGTCTGTAAATCCTTCTCCCACAAGAGCTGATCTTTATCAAGATCTTACACATATCATTAGGTTAAATCCTTCCTCGTTGCCACTGTCTTATCATTTTACCTATAAAACCAGCCGTTCTATGCGATTTGACCCAGGGCTTCTCAGTGGTGGCACTATTGGTATTTGGGACCAGGTAGTTCTTTACGGTGGGAGATTGTGAGTATTTAGCAGCAATGTTTAGTATTCAGCCTCCACTCTGAATCATAACAACCAAAATATCTCTAGACATCGAGGGAGAGGACATCAGCCCAGTTAACAACCGCTCGTTCAATCTAATATCATCTCATTTAATCCTCATAATCCAATTAGAGTCTGTCTCTACCAAGGAGGACACCAAGGCTTGGTGCAGCTCCACCTCAGGGCCCACAGCTCAGCAGCCGGCTCTGAAGTCTGGTCTACACCACTCCAGGCCCCAGGACCCACCCCCTCAGCCTCTGCACTCCACTTTTTACACTGAACCTTCTTGAGTCCTTAAGCTCTTTGGAGCACTTGGACTGCTCAGTACAAGTCCGAGTGCAAGGTCAGGAGGCTCGCCTGAGTGCCTGGACTGGGCTAGAACCCAGCTCTTGTGACCTCCATTTCCTCTGACTGGCCGACCTGCCATCTTGCAGACAGACAGGCTGGGGCTGGGGCTCCCCCACACTCACGCTCCCTATGCTTCCCCCACACTCACGCTCCCGGGGCTTCCCCCACACTCACACTGCTCGTGCTTGCCATAGCCAGACAGTTCACACTCCGTCCAGTCGGGCAGCGTCAGGCTGGGTGGGGGGAGACACACGGTGCGGACAGCGACACTCTCCTGGGCACAGCGTGACAGTGAGTCTGACTTCAGCTGCAGCAGAGCTGAGAAGGAGGGAGGCAGAGGACGGGCCAGTGTGAAGAGGGCATCTAGGGTATGAGGACCACCCAGGCAGGGCCTGTCCCATGGGTGTGACCCCCCGTGTGAGTGCCCGTGCCTGCATGTTACGGGTTTGGAGTGTGAACTGAAGCGCAGAATGATGACCCCTTACCGATGTCGTTGTTGTACGTGTCATCATCAAATTCCTTGTGGACAATGTATTTTTCTACTTCGAATTCCTGCTCCTCCTTTCCGGGGATCAAGCGGTAGGTTCTGCCCAGTATCACCTTCAGGTGATGGAGAGGGACCCTGATGGAGAAACGGCATTTTGCTGTGAGATCTCCTCCCCAGGCTGGCTCGAGGCCTCAGAGAGGAGAAAACCTGCTGGACTTGCCAGGCCCTACCTCTCCTGGAAGCAGTGGGCAGCGGACAGGACCCAGCAGGAGTGGATCAGGATTCCCCCACACAGAAACCTCTCTCCTGGGGACCGCCTGTTCTTGGCAAAGATGGCAGCCTGCCACGGATGGGAGGTGATGTCTGTTAAGAATCCTCCTTTAATAAGGAACTGAGGCTGCTTGTACTGTCTCAGGCCGCAGGTGGCTGGGGGAAGAGAAGACAGAAGAAGCCGGTAAGTCCTGCAGTCCCGGGCTGAGGCCCTTGAGCACGCATCCTGGCTTCTTCCCTCAGGAAGACCCCTGAGTTTCTACGGCTTGCTGCACTTGTGTGGGTACAGGGTGATAGAATGGTCTCCATGGTCGCAAAACCCACAGTGCACGCCAAGTAGTGTACATCCATTATCTTTTTTTTTTTTTTTTTTGAGACAGAGTCTCACTTTGTCATCCTCGGTAGAGTGCCGTGAAGTCATAGCTCACAGCAACCTCAAACTCTTGGGCTCAAGTGATTCTCTTGCCTCAGCCTCCCAAGTAGCTGGGACTACAGGTGCCCACCACAGCGCCTGGCTATTTTTTAGAGACGAGGTCTTGCTCTGGCTCAGGCTGGTCTCGAACCTGTGAGCTCAGGCCATCCAACAGCCTGGGCCTCCCAGAGTGCTAGGATTACAGGTGTGAGCCACCACGCCCAGCCATTATATCCATTATCTGTAACTCACTACACTAAATTTCAGGGAGGCTAGGAAATGTTGCCCAAGGTCACAGCGGCATCTGGATCAGAACCTCCAGTCTGTTGGACTCCTAATCTGGAATCTTTCAGCTCCTTTCACTCTTTCTAATTTTTTCCTACAGCCATTTCCTGGCTTAAGAGATATGAAGCATTGCAACTCCCTCCTGAGGAATGGCTGGCCGTTTCTTCTGCACCTACTCAAGCTTACCTGTCCCTCAAATTCCTGCCTCTGCTAGAGGCTTTGCTCAACACTCCCGCCTACTACTCTGGGCAAGTTTCCCAACTGGACTCACTGGAAGTGACTTTGCTTGTGACCTAACAGGTAGTTTCTGTCTTACCTTTCCTAGTAAGACTCTGTGCTCCTTAGGGGAACATTCCGGCTGATCTGCTCAGTCAGAACTGATTCTGGCAGTTTCTGTTTTCACAGGAACTGAGTAATTCTCAGACAACTTTCAAACTAAAACTTCAATTTTTAACATGTGTGCCGATATGAATTTTCTCCCTATCTCTCATCAGCTGTCATTAACCCGGTCCCCCTGTGTTACGTGGGTGCACTGGGGCACGTGAACAAGCTCACAGTAGAAGGATAAGGCTGAGAGTCAGAGGACAGGGGAGCTGGCCCTGGCTTTGCCACTTGGAGCCTGGTGACTTGGGCTGACTAGGTGACGGCTGAGAGATCGCTTTCCAATCTGTAAACTGGACGCAGCAAGACCAGCCCTCAAGCCACATTATTTGGCAGTGTGTGGTGAAAGTTATCTGAGGAGTCACAAGTGGGGGGTCTCCTGCTCACCACCACCACCACCACCACCACCATCATGAACAGGCCTATCTAGAGAGAAAGGAGCAGGGTGTCCAACCTGAGGGCTGCAAGTGGCCCTCGAATTATTGGAGGCCTGTTTTGCTTCTCTGTGGTGTCAGACATCACGAAAATTATGCACAGACCTTTTTTGCTCATCAACGTTGTAGCGTTTGTGAATTTAATGTGTGGCCCAAGACATCTCTTCTTTTTCCAATGTATGGCAAGGAAAAAAAGAAGGCTGGACACCCCGATAGAGCCTACTGAACTCTCAGAGAAGCGGGTGCGTCCCTTTCTTTTGCCCTTCCCACCGCCCACGCAGGGGAGCAGACACTGCCCACCATTGCTTCAGTCATGGACACCCCCACCCCCTGCGTCACAGGGCTGGGAGTCTGGCAGTTCTACCATCTGAACAGACAGCCCTGAAAAGGCAGAAAGCGACAAGGAAATAAGACCAGCCCTTACAGCACTGCGGCACATCGCAGTATTCCCAGGTCAGCTTGCGGTCCTTCACCACGTGGCACCAGGGCTTGGCATCATTGTCTGGGTTCCTAGAGGACAAAGGAGTTCACGGTTTCCAATCACATTTCAGTCACAGCACAGGCTGCAGAAGAGTGGGAGGGAGGCCCCGAGTTCAACTAGGGCAGACCCCACCCTCGGAGGATAACGTCTCTTTTGTTTTTCTTTCTTTCTTTTTTGAGACAGAGTCTCCCTCTGTCCCCCTGCGTAGGTGCCGTGGCAGCACAGCTCACAGCAACCTCAAACTCCTGGGCTCAAGTGAGCCCCTTGCTTCAGCCTCCTGAGTAGCTGGGACTACAGGTGTGGGCCACTATGCCTGGCTAGTTCTTTAATTTTTTTTTTTATTTTTAGTAGAGACTGGGTCTCGCTTTTGCTCAGGCTGGTCTCTAACTCCTGAGCACAGGTGATCCACCTGCCTTGGCCTCCTTGGACGCTTTGTTATCTTTCAGTGACATAGTGCTCTAATCTTACAGCGATATCGGGGGCTGTTCTGTGAAGGAACTCTTAGAGATCCATGGGGGTAATGGTGTGCTGTGAGAACGGAACAAATAAAGACTGTGTGGAGAGGGGACAGCACCCCTACCTTGGGATTTGGGGTGGAACCCTGGTGCACCTGACTCTTCATGATAGGGGTTATTCTAGCAAAGGAAGCGGTGAGGCTGATGATACCTGTGGGTCCTTCCTGCTGGGTCTGTCACAGAACTTCAGGTCCTAAGTCTTCCCCAACCCGATACCCCAGTTCTGCCCTCTGCCATGGCTGAGCACTCCGGGCCCTGCGCTACGCACCGGCAGTAGTTATGTCTGCCCAGGCCCAGAGCCGGGGCGTTGCTCTTCCACGCTGTGTAAATTTTGCCTTTCAGGATCACAGAATTCCAGGGGAGGCAGGAGGCCCCAGATGTGGTGAGGCTGTGCCTGCCACGGTACGCTGACCCTTTGTCAAAGTAGCAGTCCCCATTTTGACCTGGAAGAGAAGAAATCTCAAGCTGAAAGGAAAGGAATTAAATGCCTAAGCCTGCAAGTCGGGTTAGGGCTTGAAGTGCAGGTGCTGGCCCAGGAAGCTGGGGGTGGCCAGCCTGGCAGTGAGGAGAGCACGACACCTCCCAGCTCCCCCTTCCCTCCTTCTTCAAGCTCTGTGACATGGAGCCAACACACGGATTTCATCTCTGGTACCAACTACTGCCAACTCGCTGTGCCGAGTGTCTCAGAGGACACTCAGGTTTGCAAGAAGGGGCGTGTGTGCTGTGAGTGTTTCTGCAGCCACTTTGAAAGTTATTAGGAATCTCCCTGTCTACACTGAACAGGTCACATCAAACCTGCAGGTGCTTCAGTGGAGGTGGGCGTGGCAGGCCCTCATTTCTCAGATGTCACGTGCCAGTACCCTGAAGGATCTGTTGGGCTGGGGAAGGCAGGGGAAGCATGAGCCTTAGAAATAAATGAAAATAAATTTTCATTTCTCTGTCCCATTTGTTTTCTGAGTTCTACGCATAAATACCATAATTGGAAGGATCATTAGGATAATCTGTATCTATGGGTCATAGCTTAGACCAGCTCCTGGGGGGGGGGGGAAGGATGTGTTAGAAGTATAGCAGGGAGTCGTGGGACCCCTAGGTACGCCAGGGTTACTGGGAGACCCGCAGAGGGAATGTGCATGGCTTTTGTGCACATGTATCTAGAACTTTAAAAAATGTCTTTCATGGGTGGCACCTGTGGCTCAAAGGGGTAGGGTGTCGGCCCCATATGCCAGAGGTGGTGGGTTCAAACCCAGCCCCGGCCAAAAAAACCCCAAATATATATATATATATCTTTCATACCATTGTGTGATAAATAGTGTAGTTATTTGTAAAATCACCGTTGAATTCATAGTACCTTTTTGTAACTTAGTATTTTTTTCAGTCAGGGAAGATTTTTCACATTAAAAGGCTTGAGAAGCGGGGAGAGGGAGAGAGAGAGATATATAGAGAGAGAAAGGCCCATTCACCAAAGGGGAGAATCTCCATCCATTCTCAAAAGGGCTGGAGGCCACTCGTTCAATCCCCTCCTCTCCTCTGTGAGAGGAGGAGACTGAGGGTCAGAGAGGTGCAGCGGGGATGTGTACCTGAGTCTCCTGACTTTCTTCCCTCTGTTGCCATAATGACTAACCACCACCTGCCCCTCTCTCCCCTCGGGCGCAGAGGGACAGGCAGCCTTGTCCTCCCAGGCCCTTCTCCCAGGGACACTGCAGGGGAAGGTGGGTGGCTGTCACTTACCCTTGGAGCAGGCAGGTGTGCTGCAGAACTCCGAGGTGTACTTCCCCGCCTTGAAGACATAGCACCAGGGCTTTGAGTCTCGATCTGGGTTTCTGAAAAAGCAGCCAGGGAGGCCCAGGGGAGGTCAGAAATGAAGACTCCGGCTCAGCGCCTATAGCTCAACTGGCTAAGGCGCCAGCCACGTACACCTAAGGTGGTGGGTTCGAATCCCCAGCCTGGACCCGCCAAACAACAATGACGGCTGCAACCAAAAAATAGCCGGGCGTTGTGGCGGGCGCCTGTGGTCCCAGCTACTTGGGAGGCGGAGGCAGGAGACTCGCTTGAGCCCAGGAGTTGGAGGTTGCTGTGAGCTGTAATGCCACGGCACTCTACCCAGGGGGACAGCTTGAGGCTCTGTCTCAAAAAAAAAAAAAAAGAAATGAAGACTCCCCTTGCTGACCCACACTCTTCCAGGGAAAGGCGAGCGCACTTTGCGTTCTACACTGGATAGTTGCATCCCGGTAGGCAGAAGTGTGACCTAGTGTGACCTGTCTCTTGTGCTTGGAGATTAAGTGTGGTTTAAGGAGATGTGCACAGGTGCCTACTCAACAGGTGTGACAGTCTCCATGGCAACTCGGCTGGAGTGCCCAATCATGCAACCAAACATCATCTGAGGGCTGTTGTGAGGGTATTTCGTAGATGTGGTTGACAGTCAGTGTTGGCTTTAAGTAAAGGACATTATCCCAGCCCGTGTCAGCTGAAGGCCTTGGAACCAAAAACTAGAAAGAAATTTTGCCTCAAGAGCACATGTCAGCTCCTGTCTAAGCATCCAGCTGCTGGCGGCCCACAGACAACACACTCGCCAGCCTCACAATCAGAGGAGCCAGTTCCTTGCAGTAAACTTCTTTATGTTTCTACCTGCAGCTGTGTATACTGCACTGGTGCTGGTTCTCAGGAGAGCCCTGGTGGGCCTGCTACGTGTCTCCCCTCAGTGGCCACAAGCCCAGCGGGGCAGCCAGCCCCTCACCTGCAGTAGTTGTGGTTCCCGAGGCCCAGCCTGACGGCGTCTGGCCTCCGCCCATTGTAGGGCTTCCAGGCCAGTGTGCTGCTGTTCCAGTTGACACAGTCAGCTCCACTCTCTGTCGTGCTCCACGTGCCCCTGTAGGTGACACCCTGGTCCTCATAGCACGTGGCCCTGGCATCTGAGGGAGAGCAGGACAGAGATGGCTTGGACAGGGATCCCCTTTGGTTCAGCCTTTTGAGAGGCTCCCGTGACTCCCCGTCATCCTCCCAACCTGCCTGGAGCCCGGTGCTGCCCTGTCCCTACCCCACCCCGGCCTCCCTCACACCTCCTGTCCTCTCTCGGCAGGGCTGCAGTCCCTCTCTCACACCCACTCACCTATTTCACAGCGTGTCCCAGTGAATCCTTCGGGGCACTGGCAGACGAAGTGGGAGAAGTACAGAGCCTGCCAGCACGTCCCCCCGTTGAAGCACCTCGGTTCACTGCAACCTGTCACACATAGACAAAGAAACCTCTCGTTATAGTCGCCCCTTGGTATATGCAGGGGCTCCAGGACCCCTGCAGACCCAGTTCCACACACAAGGCTCGCAGCTGGCCCTGTGGCACCCAAGGGTACGCATTTCCCATCCCACAAATACTGTATTCTCCATCCGCCTTTGCCTAAAAAAAAGCCACTTGGCCTGCTCAGTTCACAAGCATGTTGTTTAAGGTTCAACTGGGCTTTCAGAGCAGCTCCAAAACATGAATTTTAGAATAGAAACTCTAGTCTCACCCTGCTGCCCTGACTAGAGTACAGTGGCATCGTCATACCTCACAGCAACCTCAAACTCCTGGGCTCCCGTGATCCTCCTGCCTCAGCCTCCCGAGGAGCTGGCACTACAGATGTGCACCTCAACACCCAGCTAGTTTTTCTATTTTCAGTAGAGACAGGATCTCACTCTTGCTCAAGCTGGTCTTGAACTCCTGGCCTCAAGTGATCCTCCTGCCTCGGCCTCCCAGAGTGCTGGGATTACAGGCATAAACTATAGTGCTCAGCCACGGCTTAAATATTTAAGAGTGTTCTCTACGTGCCGGGCACTCGTCTACACAGTTTACCAAAATTTACTCATTGAATCCTCGCAGCAGACCATGAAGTACGTTGCACTATTCTCCCCATTTTACAGATGAGCAAACTGAGCTCTGCGATGGTGGTATTCACCTAAGTAACTTAGTCTCCTTTTTTTCTCTGTACCTTCGCCTTGGCCTGGGACAGGATGTGCCTGGAGTCTTCCTTTGAAGACTGGAACCTGCTGGGACTGTGCAAGACAGTTTGACCCCTGACCTCGAAGCCCCTGCGTAGTGCGCGTACGTACTCTTGACGGGCACCGAGTGGCACCGCGCTCTGTTGCCATCGCACCAGCAGTACTCCACCCGCCTGCCTCTGAGCATGGGCCGCAGCCAGGACTCGTGCAGCTGGTAAACCATCTGCGTCTTCTCGTCCCTGCAGGTCGCTGTAAGGGAACACGGGCCCACCTTTTCAGACACAACTCGAAAGATACCCTCGATTCGTCACCCTGAACCCCACTCGTTTTCAATGTGATCCATTGTGATTGTGTATTCCTCTCTCGAAATTATAAGAGTAGAGAGAGAGAACAAATACTGAATATTTTTGTTGCCAAAGTTCCCTTTTATTGTTTTTCCTCTTGTGGGCCCTTGTTTTGAAAAGCATTTATCTGTCAAAATATATTTATTAAGTGGTCCTCTATTTTTTCATTTTAATTCATCAAAAATCTCCATATGTGTATTACACCCTACCAGGGATTTTGATTCATATGAGTATTACCATAAAGAAATGATGCATTTGGGGCCCAAAATAAAGAAGATTGACATTTTAGTCTTTGCAGAAAAATGTGCCATTTCCATTAATTGTTTCTGGCATCATGAAGGTAGCTAAAGTTCTTCTCTTAATATTCTTTTCCCAGGGCCAGGCATGGTGGCTCACACCTGTAATCCTAGCACTGGGGAGGCCAACGTGGGTGGATTGCCTGAGCTCACAGGTTCAAGTCCAGCCTGAGTCAGAGCAAGACTCCATCTTTAAAAAAATAGCTGGGTAACGGGGGGTGCCTGTGGCTCAAAGGAGTAGAGCGCCGAACCCACACACCAGAGGTGGCGGGTTCAAACTCAGCCCTGGCCAAAAACTGCAAAAAAAAAAAAAATAAAAATAAAAATAAATAGCTGGGTGTGTGGCAGGTGCCTATAGTCCCAGTTACTTGGGAGGGTGAGGCAAGAGGATCGCTGGAACTCAAAAGTTTGAGGTTGCTGTGAGCTAAGATGCCACAGCACTCTACCAAGGGTGACCAAGTGTGACTCTGTCTCAAAAAAAAAAAATTCTTTTCCTATTTTTCTCTGTTTTCCAACCGGAATGCGAACTTAATAAAAAAAAAAATTGTTACGTTTAATTACTTAATGAAGTAACCATGTGCTCACTGTAAATAATATTTTTGCAACTTTTGAAGGTCTGCTGAGGACCGGATGCCCTTGTAGGAAACACTATGCCTCCCATAAAACAAGGCATCGAGAGTCAAGGTGTGACTCACTCTGGTGAAATTTCCACTTTAAAAAGGGTGTTGAAAAGTCTTCCAGACCTGGACGAACTATGTCATGAGGAAGGAGAAATGAAGGCCCCAGGCGGGTGGTTTGGGAGCTGAAGCTGGGCCTAGAGTTGTTCAAATCAGAGTGAAGACAGCTGGTTTCTGTCTTGGAATCCTCACAGGAATGGCCCTCAGTTCTCTAGAGCCAACGTCTAGATGTGGACTCGTAGACCTACCCCACGTCTGAGGTCGCCCTATCCCTAGGTGACCAACAGAGGCCAACGCAGACACAGGGATGTGAGTTAGCAGATGTGCCGGCTGAAGACCCCAGAGGACCAGGCAGCCATGGCTGGGGCTGCCCTGGGCTCCATTCTCATCTGTATAGCCAAACCCTCGAGTACTGAGCTGGCAGGCTCCCCCTGTTCTGTGACCCCGGACAGCCTGTCCCCTTCGGAGGACATGTGTCCCTGCTCCCCCTGAGTGTCGGCTGCCTGGGTGCGTGGTGAACAAGCGGATGTCTTTGCAGAGTCACCCTGAGAGGTTTTGCCCGTCACAGAGGGAGCAGGACACGGGCAGAAGATGAGCGCCCCAGAGTCTACAGACCTGCACCCCGAGCCCCCCTTCCACATCCTCATCTCCTTCTCACCTTGGGAAGATCTGGCTCCTCTTCTGAATCGGGTGTGGATGTCCTGCAAATAAGCCAGGTGTGGAGAGAGGTCAGCACGTGCTGGGCATGCTACAGGTAAAGGCAGCCAAACCAGAAGCGCCCCAACCCTGTGAACCCGCTGGTCAGGTGCCGTCTGCCGGAGACGCCCCCTCAGGAACAGGCCCTGGGGAGTCCATCTCCTGCCTCATGGTCTAATTCTTCCTTTCCTTCTAAACTGGTGCTGTCCAGAAGAACTGACTATGTGACAGAAATGTTTTCTATCTGTGCTGTCCAACCCAGCACAGACCACCCGTGGCTTCTGAGCCTTGGAATGCAGCTAGTGTGACTGGGAAACAGAATTTTTAATTTTATTTCATTTTAATCAATTTGAGATTTGATTGCTACATGTGGATAGTGGCCACCATGCTGGGCAGCCACCTGAGCTCTCCCTTCTCTGAAGTCCTGCTGCAGAGGTATGGCTGGTTTGGGCTTGGAGGATGGCCTTTATTGAGACCAGCCTGGACAACACAGCAAGACCCCATCTCTACAAAATAATTAAAAAATTAGCTGGGCGTGGTGGCATGCACCTGTAGTCCTGCTACTCAGGAGGCTAAGACAGGAGGATCACTTGAGGCCAGGAGTTCAAGACTACAGTGAGCTGGGACCGTGCCATGGTGCTTTCAGAGAGTGCATATAGGTATCCACGTGAATTCTAACTTATCTGTAATGAACAGTATGAGGGCAGCTTGCCAGTCCCTGCGGCTCACCGTACTGGCACCATCTTTTATAAACATCCTCAGCCCTCAGTATATGTGGGTCCTACAGCCATGGATTCAGCCAATCATGGATTGAAAATGTCAGGGAAAAAAGTAATAAAAAATAGCAATACAATAATAAAAAGTACGCATTTTAAAATACATTACAACAACTATTTATGTAGCATTGACGTTGTATTAGGTTTTTTAAGGCACTTAGAGATGATCTGAAGTGTATGGGGGGATGGATGTGCACAGGTTACAAGCAGACGTGCCCTTTTATATCAGAGACTTGATCATCTGTGGATGGTTTGTTCTTTTTTTTTCCAAGTGACAGGGTCTTGCTCTGGCACCCAGGCTGAAGTGTGGTGATAGGACCATGGTTCACTGCAGCCTTGAACTCCTGAGCTCAAATGATCCTCCTGCCTCAGGCCCCTAAGTAGCTGGGACTAGAGATGCCACTGCACTTGGTTAATTTTTTTTTTTTAACTATTTGTTAGAGACAGGGTTTTGCTATGTTGCCCAGGCTGGTCTCAAACTTCTGCCCTCAAGGGATTTTCCCCCTTTGACCTCCCAGAGTGCTGGGATTACAGTTGGGGGCCTTTGCACCTGGCGATCTTTGGATTTTGATATCTGAAAGGCTCCTGGAATAATTTCCCCACAGATAACATAGGACGACTGACTTTATGAATTACTTCCAACACATTCTTTAAAAACAGCTTTAAAGAAGGCAGTCTCAGGCAGTGGCATGGAACTAAGAATCGTTTACCCAAGTCAGAACCAGTGCTGAGGATTCTGTGCTGGGAGGTGAATTCTCTGCCCTCCACCCCATGACACCACTCCCACCCCTGGGGCCTGGGATGGACATGGACTCCTGGCTATACCGAGAAGCGTCTGGAAGGCTCAAGGGGCCAGGCTTGCAGAGACACGCTGGACACCCACCTGGCTGGCCAGAGTGCAGGCCACTCCACACAGCAACAGCACACACAGGAGCGTGCTCACCATTTTACTCATCATGTCTTTAGGGTGTCCCCGAAATTCTGGAAGCAGAAGAAAAAGAGCTTAACCATGTGATGGAGAAGTCAGCGTACAATAAAGATTAGGCATCCTGGGCTTTGTCCCAGCTGGGCTGCTCCAGCATCAGCTCCCACAGAGAGAAACGCCAGCACAGGTGTCTGGAAGATTTTTTTAAAATGTGTAATATATACAGATAATAATTTTACTGCGGCAACATACACACGACATAAAGTTTACCCCTAACACTTTTCGGTGTTCTGTTCCGTGGCCCTAAGCACATCCACACCGCTGTGCAGCTGTCACCGCCGCCCGTCTCCAGGACATTTTCATCTTCCCCACTGAAGCTCTGTCCTCTTTAAACACGGACTCCCCATGCTCCTTCCGCAGCACCCAGCAGCCACCCTGTCCTGTCCTACCCTGTGAGTATGACTGCTCTGCACGCCCTGTAGGTGGAATCATCTTACGACTTTCCGCCTGGCTCCTTTCTTGGAGTGAGGTCCTGCAGGTTCACCCCTGCTGTGCCATGTGTCAATTTCCTTCCTTTTTAAGGCTGAATAATACCCCCCCCCGACAATGGGCACCTAGGTTGCTGGAAGATAATTTTGCTCGAGATTTCTGTGGACGGTAGGGCTAGACCATCTCTGATACTTCTTAGCACTTGGGGACCACAGTGCCCTGGCTTGGTTTCCTAAAAGGCAATTGCTGCCCTGGACTTGACTAGAAGGAGCCACAGTGGTGCCCTCCACGGCTTCTCTAGAGGAAGCCGCTGGGATTTTATGGCTGGCCGGTGACTGCCTACCCCAGATTGCCTGTGTGTGTCCCCTGGGGTCAGGCCTGCTGCCAGGTATGAAGGTTCCCTCCACCTGACCCCTGGCTCCCCTCGGTGTCTGTCTTGTTTTTTGCAAACTGCGATGGCTCCAGCAAACTGTGGGCTTGCACTGTGGAGAGGGCACATCTGGCTTTGTTCAGGAGACTCACATCTTCCCAGACCCAGACTCCCCAGTTCCCAATGGCCCTCTCAGTGCTCTTGCTCTCAGCAGCTTAAGTAGGTTAGTCGGTCGGGGTGTTATTTTGCGGCCTGGCAGGCCCTCTCCATTCTCTGTCCACAAGAATTAAAGCAGGGTGTTTCCTCCCCTGACTCACTTCCCTTCAGTCACAACAACTGTGGGTCCGTCCCCCCCCCCCCACCGTCCTCAGGGTCCTGGGCCTCTGGTGCAGAGGGCTCTGGGGTTCCCAGACTTGCCTGGGGCTGGCTCTGAAAAGAACGCCCCTGGTGGGAACCTGGCTGGTCCTCCCCCATGCATTGCTGCAAGGATCAAACAGAAAGGCAGCTGGGGTGGGAGGTTCTTCATGGGTCCTTCCTGGGCTGCTGGTGGGGAGTGGAGGGTGGGAGAGGTGTGCAGGCATCTGAACCTGAAAAATGTAGGCTATGGGCTCAGCAGCCCTCCTGGCCACTCCCCATCCTGAAGGAGTAGCAGGGCAGTCCCGGGGCCTTCGTCCTCATTTGCCATCACCGTGCCCAAGCCCTGGTCCAGGGCAGCCTGCAGTAAGCTCTGGGGACCCTCTCCCACCTGGAGGAAGCAGCTGGGCCACGGGTGTCTGGCTGCAGGTGATTTCAGAAGAAAGGAAGCCAGGAGGGGAGACCATGAAACTCCAGACTGGGGCACCCAGAGGAGCCTCTGGTCACAGGGAAAACTCTGGATTTTCTCTCTCTCAGCTTTCCTCAAACTTCCCTTTCTCAAAATTTCCCAAAGTTCCTCTTACATTTCCCTTCTTAGTTTTATCCTGTTACTTATAACCTTTTAAAAATGAATCTTCTGAAACTGATTTCTCCCTTCCCTCCTGACATTCCTGAACTGACAAGGTCCCCTCCACTCCCCGAGGCCAGCCCTGAGCACAGCGAGAGCTGCAGCCTCACAGGACTTTTTGAGAGAATTCTGAATGAAACAGGGAACGAATGAGTGAAGGAACCGCCCAGGGAATGAAGAACTTCACTCTTCTTCATCTTGTGCACAACCCCCCCCAGCTCTTAATACCTAAGCCTGGGGGATTAATTTAGGTTTTTTCCTCGACACCTGCCAAGTTACTGCTCGGTTTCATGAACTCAAGGTCCCCCTAGTCAGGGGTGTCCAACCCTGCAGCCCGAAGTCCACCTGCAGAGTATCTGAAGACTGTTTGCTTACCTGTGGTGTTGGTATCATGTACACACAGACCCTTTTATTATTATCTTGCTCATCACCATTTGTGTATTTATTGTGTGGCTCAAGACAACTCTGATTTTTTCAGTGTGAGGCAGGAAAGAAAAAAGTTTGGACACCCCCGTTGGAGGGCAACTCTAGAGGCTGGAGGTATTGACACACTGCCACTGCCTGCCCCCCAATACGGAGCAGCCCCCTTCCTGGGCCAGGTGGGGGAGTGGGCCCTGGGCTGGGTGCAGACTCGGAGCCTGCATCCTGCTCAGCCCTCTGGCGGCTGAATAATCCGCACCTGGAGGCAGGCAGCCTCTGTTTCCTTCTGCTCCAGGGAGAGGCAGGGACTTTTTTTTTTTTTTTTAATCATCGTTGCCTCTGTGGGCCTTCTGAGGCCTAGAGCTGATCCAGGGTGAGTGTGAGGGCACCATCTGCACCCGACAGAGGCACTCTGAGTGGCTGGACAGGCCAAGGAGGGCAGGAGATGACAAAGAAGTTAGTCATCCGGCCAGCAGAAAAACAGTGCAGTGGGAAAGAAAAGGGAGAGGGAAGAGAGGGAGGGAAGATGTGTCCTCGTGTTGCCTTTGCTGAAGCCGTGAGCGTGGAGGTCGGGGCAGCGATGGGGCAGAGAGCGAAGTGGACACCAGCTCTGCAGATACAGCCTGTGCCAGGGTCTGGAGCTCAGAGCAGATCACCAGCAGCCAAAGGGAGGCCCCTGAGTACTCGGTGAGGCCAGGTCGGAGGGACAGATACGAGACCTCTGGAGGCCCCTATTAGAGACGAAGGACTATTCTTTTTTTTTTTTTTTGAGACGGAGCCTCAAGATATCCCCCTGGGTAGAGTGCCATGGCATCACACTCACAGCAACCTCCAACTCCTGGGCTCAAGCGAGTCTCCTGCCTCAGCCTCCCAAGTAGCTGGGACCACAGGCGCCCACCACAACGCCTGGCCATTTTTTGGTTGCAGCCATCATTGTTGTTTGGCCGGCCCGGGCTGGATTTGAACCCGCCACCTCAGGTGTACGTGGCTGTTGCCTTAGCCGCTTGAGCCACAGGCGCCGAGTCGACAAAGGACTATTCAACGGTGTCCCAGAATCATCAAAGAACTGAAAAAGGAGGTGAGTAAGAGGAGGAAGGGAGGGGACAGAAGGTCCAGAGATGGCTGACTTTGGGTCTGTCACTGGACTTGAACCCCTAAATCCTATGTGAGAAGTAGGCGAATGGCCGTAAGGCCTGTGGTCCCCAAGCCCCCAGGTCCCAGCCCTGGCAGCCCATCCTCGTTCAAAGCTGATATTTACAGATTTGCAAAATGCACCCTTTCTGGTGGATGGGGCTGAAGGCTTGGCAAGTTAACCAAGAATCGTGAAAATTAGGAAAAACACCAGATGTGGCTTAACCAGTAGAGCACTGCCTGGATTTCAGGACCAGCGTTGGAGACACAGCCCCTTGGTCTGTGCTCAGCCGGCCCTGCTGTTCCCAGCATGCGTGTGCACCCCCAGCTCTGACCTCCCTGCCCAGAAGCTGTGTTGGGTCTTGTTGGCCACAGTGACAGAGTGACTCTGTTCACTGGCACTCTGAACAACCTGTGAATGAGGACTGTTCCAGTGGGGAATTGAAGACAATGGTCTGGTAACCAGGGAGAGGGGACTCTTGCTCTCAGCTGGCTCTCCTGGGCCTTCCCAGAGCTGAGCATGTGTGCCATGCTGGCTGAGAAATTGATCATCATGCCAGCCAGAAACTTGGTATTCATTTCTGCAGTGGTCACCCAGGAGAATGATGATTAGCAAGAGCCTGTTGGTAACTGGTGGATTCTGGGTGGGCAAAGCCATTGGAAAGGGAATAAGCCAGCTAGACAGGAGGGGCCTGGGAAAGAGAAGGTGGTATCCTCAGGGCCTTTATATCCTCCCCACATTCCCTGTATAAAACGAATACATAAAAATCTGCTCTCAGGAGAGGATCTGCTAAACTCACTCACATAAGGTTAAAAAAACAGCTGAACAAAAAATTAATGCACTGTCCTTTCAAGAAGCACCCGTATTTTGACACATAAAATCTGCTCCTTGCAATGCAAGACCAAATATGCTGGACGCTCCGAGCTTCCTCCTGGGGTTAACATCCTGTGGTTTCCCTTGTTGTGAGAACAGATGATAAAATGAGTGTATACAGGCTGTGTAGATGGGGAAACTCGTACAAATGGCACTGAGGTTCTGCTCTTTAGATTTTAGGAAAGTGATTTGCAGTAAAGGAACTACACAGGTGCAGTCCACTGATCGGTCAAATGGCAAACGGGGCAGCTGCCCCAGATGTTAGTGGACTGGAGGACTTGCCATCTGCCCCCTCCCTATAAGAGGAAGGCCAGAAACGTGAGCAAGCTGGAGGGGGTGGAAATTGCAAGAGAAAGACAAAAGTAAATTGATACTATTATCAAATGTGTGGAAGGTTTGCTGCACTTATCATTGATGAGAAGATTCTTTCATTACTGCTTTGCAGAACTTCTCTGGGTAAAAAAGAAAGTCATTTTCTAAGAGTACCAATATCCTACGGTGACTCACAGCCTTAAAACAAACAACATGCTTTCCCCCTACACCTCCCTCTCACCCTCAACCACCATAACTCAGAATGCATGCCGACACTTTGGAACAGAGAGGGTCAGAACGCCTTCTCATGATAAAGGTATGTTTTCTAGAGTCAGGGCAGGAGTTGAGCTGAGATGCCGGGAGAGGAGGTGGGCCTCGGAAAGGGTGGTGAGTCACACCCTGGGATGGGAGCCTCGAACCCAGTCCTGTACCCACTGCTAGAGGGAGGCCCTGGTTATTACAGAGGCCAGGCGTGAAG